CTTCTTTTGTTTACCTGCAAACAGGATTTGTTTATCACAGGTTGTTTAGAACCTCATTTAAAAGGCAACTAATACAAGTGTGATGTAGAAACTTGAAGCCTGCACAGACCAGCTAAGTATAGAAAGCAGCAATTAAGCTTTTGAAATTGAATAAAGATGTTAGATTTTTCCATTAAATTCAAATTAAAACACTATTTTTAGACATCTTTCAAACATGATTGGAAGGCATTTGTTATATTGTACAGTTTATTAAACCAGGGTTTTAAATTTGAGGCAGCATTTCTACTATTTTTTCTTTAACGCCGAGCTCCAGTCGGAGCCTCTGAAGCCGCCTTGCTCTGCTTGGAGTGAAAGAAAAGGTTCAGAGTTCACACCTGAGAGCAAACCTGTACATATCAGCAGAATGTATCCCACAGCTCCCAGACCATCTCCTGGCACTGAGATTGTGGGGTTTTTAGACAGTTATCTGATAAGCAGACTGCATGATGAGTGAAGAAATCAGACAAAATGATTTGCATAAACACACACACACACTAACCAGGGTCAGTAATTAACAATAGCTCAGGGCAAAAGCACCATCCACGGTTCAGAAAAAGTCTGTAAAATGAGGGGGCAAAAAGCGCCCCTGATAATTATGAGCAGCCTTTTTTTTTTTTTTTTGCATTTCAGCCGGTTTGTGTCTTTGATGGGTCGTCAAATATTCATGTGGATGTGACTGCTGGTCCCCACGGGCCACTGAAGGTGCTTTCAGGAGCTTTTGATCAGATCTGATGGATTGTCTATCCAGCTAATATTATGTTATCAGATGCATAACTAGAGATAATAGAAACCGCTGAGCTTCTTTTTTCAGTGAATTTGTGTCTGTTCTAGGAAAATAAAACATTTTATTATCTCTGGGGGCGAGCTGCAAGGTGGCTCGGTGGTTAGCATCGTTGCTTCGCAGCAAGAAGGTCGTCGGTTCATGTCAGTAAGGACACCCGGGATCTTTCTGCGTGGAGTTTGAATGTTCTCCCCGTGCAGCGTGGATTCTCTCCGCGTTCTCTGGAAGGATGGATGGATGGATGGATGGATGGATGGATGGATGGATGGATGGATGGATGATTTTAGTTTGGGATTTTGGGCAAAATATTAGTAAAACAGTCCTGTATTAGTCACCTATAATGTTGTTTTATCAAATGTTTCAGTTGTTCATGGACATCAGATTTATGTAGCCAATGAATATGTGACTCTGAATGCAAAAATCCCAACAACAACCAAAACAAGTTCAGCAAGGAAGAAGCCATTGCTTCAGAACTGCCATAAAAAAAAAAAAAAATCAAAAAACATACTACAGTTTGCACTTGCACATGTAGACCCAGATCATACTTTCTGAAGAAATTGCCTTTGGTTTGCTGCAATAAAAACTCAACTGTTGAAGACCATCGAAGCCAAAAAAGCACACTTAAAACTGTGATGCACGGAGGTGGCAGCATCATGGTGCTAAGGTGCTTTACTGCAACAGTGACTGGTGCCCTTTACAAACTAGGTAACATCATGAGGAAGGAAAATTATTAGGATGTGTTAAAGCAGCATGTCAAGATATCAGCCATGATGTGAAAGCTTGGTTACAAATTGGTCTTTAAAGTGAATAATAACCCAAAGTATACTTCCAAAGTTGTGGCAAAATGACTTAAAGACAACACAGTCAAGGTATCAGTGGGCCTGACCTGAATCCAATGGAGAATCTGTGGACAGAACTGAAAAAGCATATTGGGGAAGGATGCCTACAAACTAGTCATTTGAGTTTTGTAGGGAGGAACGGGAATGGGAGACGCTTGTGGAAGGTTACCTGAAATGTGGAGGCCAGCAAGTTGTCCTAGATGGAGATCCCCAGTGCATTTTATTTATTTATTTATTTTTTTAATTAAAGCTGCAGGGCGATCAGGCCTTATATGTCCTGTTTTGTGCAAATTCTTTTGTTTCTGCATTTATACAACAGAAATGGAGAGTGCAAAGTTAGCGCTACCTATAGAGCCAGTGATGGGAATCAAGCCAGGTTTAAATGCCATTGCGTGATTTGTCAGGTCATCTTTGTTGTATTTGAAATGTAGAGGGCAACAATGCATGACAACAAACAGATTCCCGCCTTAAATAGATGCCATCTGGAAATGATATTTGTATATTTTTAAGTGTGGTACACGCACAAACTGTTATATTAAGTTCAAGCTCAGCAAACATAGCAGATACATCCACGCCCGAGCTTCCGGCTCCTTGGAGCATCCTGCTTTAACATATCATTTGCTGGATCATAAATCTGTCCCCCCAGCAGGAAGCTGGTTGAGCCTCGACCACAGCGTCACCCAGTGAACCCTCTTACCTCCCGTTCCTGCCCTGTGACAGAGATCCACAGCTGCTGCATGGATGTCCCCATCCCTCACTGTCAAAACATGGCACCCGCCCAAAGTCCTGTTCAGTAGTAGCTGCTTACTACCTGGGAACGCTGCCAAAGACTTCGCAAAAAGATACTGTATGTACGATAGTTGTAGCATTTGACACTAATCCCCCCTCAGCTGTATTATGGGTGTATGTGTGTGTGTGTGTGTGTGCAAGCTGGATGAGTTGTACCCTTTACTTTTTGTCCAATCAATCAAACGCTATTCCTTTTCTTCAATCTTTCCCTTATGGGGCCTGAAATAAAGCAAAGGAAATTTAGGCGACCTGAATCGAATTTGCTCATTAACTAATAATGTCTGCCCCAAACAGCCATCAGCAGGTGGACCGTGAGGACCAAGAGGCATCTCAGTACAAAGATCACTTATTTATGGTGGCTAATCTGGATCATTTATCTTTAGGCCCACTCATTTGCAGGCTGCTCTGACAGTTCCTAGATACGGGAGGCACCCAGTCGGGTTTATTCAAAGTGTCCGACGAAGACAAACCTCTGCGGGCTTTGAATACTGCAGGTGTTAGATCGGTGTTGAAAGCTCATCCAAACAACGGTTGTCACCTCGGGTTAAGACCTGGCAGCTCTTGCAAAACACGCGTTGCAAAACGGAAAAAAGTTTAGATAACTGCTGCAGAGGAAATTTCGAATAATCGCGTGTCATGCTTTGCCGATTATTCCGCCGCTTGTTTGTGTTTATTGCCTTCACGCCGCCCCCGGAGTGTAAAAGGTAATCGTTTTCTGCGTTTCCTGGTATGCAAGTGTGTGCAGCTGAAGCCGGCTGATTGGGTGCAGAGGCCAGAAAAAGTGGATGACCCGCGGCTTCACGTGTAACCGCTCCATGTGACGTACCTGTTATTGACACTGAGCATTCAATGGGGCTCCTGCGGGACCCTTGAACTTGAGAGGCAGTCCCTGGGAGCAGCACTGGAGGGCTGAAAAGTTCAGCGCAGTTAATGTTCAACCCTTTTGATCTCTGCCGAGAAGTTGCATTCCCTGAATTCCTCACCAGCATTTCTAGCGGTAGAGAGACTATGAATGGCTCTACAGAAGACAGCTAACACTCTCCCATGCCTTCTCTCTCTCTCTCTCTCTTTTTTTCCCTGTCTCACTTGGGAAAGCAGGAATAAAGAGCTTGCGGGTTGTTAAACTTTGGAGCTTACTGTCAGCTTACTGGCTCTTTTTTTGATTTTTTTTTTTATTGTTGTCGTATAAATTTATTTCTTCAGTATTTACTACATCATCACTATTTGCTGCAGAAGAAGCGGATGTGTGATTTGTGTGACAAACGGATCAAGCAAACCTGCACGCGCAATATGTCATGATATCAGAGGAAACTTCATTAATCATTGCCGAATGCGATGAGCTCATGTATGGCAGCTGGTCTTTTTTTTCTTTTTTCTTTCAGGGTTTTACTTGTTCTTTCATTTGTGTGTCCAACAGATGTGGTCAGAGTAATGCTTTGGATTGTGGGTAAATTAAGCAACAGGTCAATCATGGGTGAGTGATACGGAAGTGTTATCTAGAAATAACCACGCCACCGTGTTCCCTTCAAGTTTGGACATTTACTGCCTGCTGAGTGTTACAGCCCCCGACATCAAAGCGCTTTTTACGACAATAAAAGTGATCACGCCTACAGTGGAGGGAATGTGTTTAGCAATTTACTTAAAATGTCTGCCATGTGGATGCCAGACTCCCTTCTAAGAGATAAAACTCAGCAGATGTCGCAGCAGAGACGACAAATTTACCGGCCGTGTGAATAATACGAGGCTGTGAAATGCTGATTGATTGTGTGAGATGTTTTCTATTGTTCGAGCGCCTGGCTTAGGAGGTTTAGTGTGAGGGTGATTAACTAATGGAGAGACATAATCCCAGGTAAGAGTCAGACGCTGGAGCCCAAAGCACAATGAACAGCCTTCACTTAACCGCAACCGAAATGCTGAGATGGCAAACCGCCTGGCAAATCAGTCACCTGGCAGACGTCGTTCTTGAGGGCCATCTGTGTTTAAGAGGGCTGGACGGGAGCGTAAACCTGATCTGAGAACAGGAAGACGTAAAAGTGCTCACAGGCCGACGTGAGATGACGCGACTGGCTGCAGGAAACCTTGTTTTGACATTGACAGCAGCAGAGAGCTTCGCTTGCAGCTTGGCTTACTTTCAACACATCCACACAGCTAAAGGGCAGAATGGATCGATTGCCAAGACTTCCAAAAAGACATGTAAGAGTGTTTTTGCAAATCAGGAAGTGTTAGGAGCGACAAAATCCTAACCCTGTCCCCTTAAAATTACATGACTACACAACTAAACTGCATTCTCAAATCAATGACCAAACTTTTATCCAGAAGACCAGAGTTTACCTCCCATGACAGACGAGAGACCATCAGTGTCATAGTCACTTGCTTCTAATTACGTTTAGGCCTCAAAACTATGTGGTTAGGTTTGTAAAACTTTGTTTTGCACATTGGGCTGCAGCTGCAAGGTGGAGCAGTTGGTAGAACTGTCGCCTCGCAGCAAGAAGGTCACCGGTTTGCGTCCCAGAGAGGACACCGGAAACTTTCTGTGTGGAGTTTGCATGTTCTCCTCATGCAGCGTGGGTTCTCTCCGGCTTCTCCGACTTCCTCCCACAAGGTCCAAATACATGTTGAGGTTAATTGGTGATTCTAAATTGTCCGTAGGTGTGAATGTGAGTGTGCTTGGTTGTCTGTGTCTAAGTGTAGCCCTGTGATAGACTCGCGACTTGTCCAGGGTGTCCCCTGCCTTCACCCTGAGTCAGCTGGGATAGACTCCAGCCCCCCATGACCCTTGTGAGGATTAAGCGGTGTATAGATAATGGATGGATGTGTTGCATGTTGCACCAAAATGAGTTGGTTAAAGTCAAGAAAAATGTCATGGTTCGGGTGAAAATACTTTTCACTCTATATTAGAAGCATCTCCTCCATTTTCTGGGTAACCAGGGTGACGAGTCCCGCTCCATGTAATATATGATTGCTTGGCTGAAAAGAAAAAATAGCAAAAATATGTTTCAGTACAATTGAAACAAATGTAATCCCGCAAAAAAATTAAATTAAAATTAAAAATTCTCTCCAAACCCTAATTGAGAATGCAGTTTAGTTGTGTAGAAACGTCATTTTGTTGACACCGTATCTGGAGGTCATGAGATGCAACTATTAGTACTAATATAAGATTTCCAGTTGCTGTGTGGTTTGGATTATGCAATTAAACTACTTGGTTGCATTCAGGAAAAGATCTTGTTTTGGCTTAAAATTGTACTTTTCGTATTTCTTCCATTTTCTCAATAGTCTGAGTCACCGGATGTAAACTTTGGGTGTAAACCTGCTTTTTCTGCTGTGAATTTCCCACAGCTTTCTCCTGCCCTTCATCTATTTATGTGTTACTGTTTTCAGAATCCACTCTCTACAGGAAGCAACCACCGACGAGCAACCTACACACTGAAAATTTCAGGTTTTGCAGATGATCCGGGACGTGCAGAAAGACAGCTCCACTAGTTTTTTTTTCTGTTTTTTTTTTTTACATCGTTCTCGCCTCCCTGCATGAAAATGTTCCACTGAAACTATTCCACTTGACACTATCTTGAGGAACCATCAATTCCCCATCCTTTGTTTAGCTCAGCACAAGCAAACTGTGATTGGTTTAAAGAAATACAAACAAACCGGAGCATCTTTTCCCCCCTACAGCAGCATGATAATGAGATGCAGTCAGACCATTCTTCAGCACGGACACAGTGTTGACGACGCAGGACTGATTTCTCAGTCACCAGGGTGACGAGTCCATCCACTGCCTGTCTGTAGCATTCAGAGACTCAAACGACCACAAGAGGTTGCCTACATAAACATCTGTCGTTTTGATCCTCTTAAACAATCAACCATTGCCTTCGTTTTCTCTGATTATGTCGGGTGTTTCCAGCAAGTAAGCAGGGAGTCTGCGGATTATGAAATAAATTTCAGCAATTGTTCCTGAAACATATTGCTAAATCCATCTGTCAGAGGTCTTGCTACAGACACAGCAAATTAGACTTATCTTTGTAAAGAGAGGAGTGGGAAGAGTGGGAGTATCCCGTGAGGATTACTTTAAGACTTTTAGAAGCATAACAAAGATGATGCACCAACTTCTGCTGACTGAAAAGTTGATATTTTTCTATTGTTTTCTTCAGATGTTTTGCTTAATTTCTCCATAAAAATGCTGAATATTGACAGAATGTATATATACCTTCTTTTATTGTTCTGTCGCTGAAACCGTGTCGGTGGCCGACCTTAGCTGATGGAAGGTCAGTAATACAGAAATAAATGTCATTGGCCAAGAAACAGGCCGAAACGTTCTCTACCTAATGAGGTCAGTGTGCAGTATCGCTTGCTTCGGTCATTTCACAAGATTACCTGGGGCAATAAAAACCTGAACTCACACCAGCTCTATATGTAAAGCTAGCGTTGGTGTGTTATATTTGGAGGATTTTTTTAGAGGAATAAACAGCTAAAACCATCCAGCAGAGATTAGAAATAGGGCTTTAGTGCAGCAGAAACACGATATGTCGGTTTTCCTAGAAAGCGTGGGAAAGCTGCACGCTTCACAACTCTGCTGCAGTTGTTTGTCTAAAGAGCGACAAGCAAAGAATCCTGAATAAGGCAGTTTCTGCAGAAACATCGATCTTCACAAGCTGAAATAAATAATGAGTTCTGAGCGTGCAGCTTTCATTCTTTGATCTCTGCCCGAGAGCCAAGACCTCACTAGAATGAATGTGTTTTCTTCTTTAGTTCTTCATATTTTCCTACACTGTAAATCATCACTTGACCTCTCAGACTCATTATGTGACCCTGTGGGGGGAATCCTGAACACCAGGGTGGGAAAAACTGCCTGGAGATGATTTTTTTTGCCTGTTTTAGGGGCATGAAAAAGTTGGGGAACCAGCCACAAGCACCGACCCCTTGGAAAAGCTTTACTGTTTTTAGGGTGAAAGGCG